CACTAAGCAATGTTACAGAAGCTTTCCACAAGGAATCTGAGTTTGTAGCCAGCAAGTCCTTGGGTGTGAAGTAAGCCCTCAAATGCATTAAATCTCTTCTGACTACTAGTATTGAACAAGTTATTGCTCTTGTGCTTTCTGAAAAAAGATGACCACATATTACAGTTAAATCCCCGCTTTACACCTACTTCCTGGTAGCATTATTATTAACTCTCAAGGGTATCCTCGTATGAATGATACACTATAAGGTCATCCTCGTTTTAAGGGACTTTAGTAGTGGAAATGGGCTCAGAAACCATGGCTGCCACCATCAGCTCAGCTTTCAACTACATAGATGCGCTTCAGACTGTCTCCAGATCTTTTGTTATGTACAGTTGTCACTGGCTACACCAACAAGTCACGTGGATCCCGTATTATTTGAGCAGCTCTCCAGAGTGGTTAAACAGTTGTTACTTTTGACAGCGACTAATGCAAATCTTCCTTGGTCTTATGATCTGATTAATTAGAAAATGTGTAAATAGTGTTGACAGATAGATGACTTTATGTAGCTCGTGAACTCAAATACTCATTCTTATTAGCATTCTTTTTTAAATGGATTCATTCATTTTAGCAGAAGTGGTAAATGAGTAATGGTTAGGAGGAGTTGGGAAAATACATGCCCGCATAGCTATTAGTCCCATGAAAGCGTACTCTATTCAGTGATTCGTGTTAAGTTTATTTCAAAGAAACTCCTCCGTGACTAAAACTACATAATACAGAATATTGATGTGAGGGGAGAAAGGCAGTGTTTAAGGCTGCTGAGTGACAGTGAAAGCCATCCACTCTACCTGGAGCATGCAAAGGATCCAAGATAACTCAGAGCGTAACCTAAATTACAAAACAGGAACTGTACAGTATTTGTGTTTTGGAATCACTTTACTAGTAAAATAAAAGCTAATTGCTTATAAATCATCTTAAGAGAGTCTATAATATGTTGTAAAGGAAAGGGCTTTGGAGTAGGTTAGCCCTGAGTTTGAATGCTGGCTCTGACTGTGTGACCTTCACTATCCTAATTAGTCTTCCTGGGTTTTATTTCCTTCTATCGTATCATCGTACAGTAGGTAAGTAATTAAAATGCATTAGAGAGTTTAGAGTACAGGCCATGTTCAATAAAAGTATCTGCTATTGTTGCTATTATTACTACTACTTAAGACTCTATTTTTACCGCTATTATTACTCAATTACTAAAGTCAGGACCTCACACAGAACAAATTTATTTTCGGGTCTTAGGATTCATTTATGATTCTCTCTCTTAAAATACTGGTAAACAAACCCGAGTCCTCAGAAACCTTATTTTATTGCATAAATTTCACTGGTTCAAGAGAAGTTATTAAGGATGATGACAGAACTCTGGATGTTGCCAATATGTATGGTGATTAGGCTTACTTAATAAAAAGCAATGCTAAAAGGCCTTATAATACTCCATAAATAGGCAATTTCTTTTCTAATATATGCAAAATCCATTTTGATGCAGACATTTTTTTCTATATATCAAGACTGGTATGGAAATTTTTTCCTAAGCACCCAGCTGCTACAAAGTTAAATAAATTAATTTTAATCTTAAATCAGAGATGTAACAGAGAAAAGGTTGATTTAATATGCAATCTCATTACATTTGACAGGCTTATTTATAAATGATTTGCCCCACATTTTGACAAGCATAGTTAATATGTTAATTAGCTTTTAAACAGATGATGAAAGGAAGAGACTGACACGCTATCATTCTTCACACATCATGTTGGGGAGCAATGTAATTGATACCACAAGTAGGGCTAATAAATATTGGGGCTCCCCCAAAAGCACTGTGATCTTGATGAGATAATTATTTATTAGTTACAGATAACTTAGTCACCTTATGTTAAAAATTAATCCCTTAAAATAATCCCAAGTGACCTTCCACTTTAGAAAACAAATACCGGTCTAAACATACCATAGGAACTTCTGGAAAACAATATAAAGCTTATTAGAACAATGACCTTGACAGCTAGAAGAGAACTCCCTGACAAGGAAGGAACTACACAGATAAGGTGCTTTTCATATTTGCACTTCTCTTAATTTAATGTGGTTTTCAGCACTGGGTAAGCCTTTTTGGTTTAGAAGCTTAAAGATGATTTCCTGTGCCTCAACTTTAAAACAGCTACAAAATCCAAGGATTAAGAGAAGTTATACATGAGACAATGTCCAAGTTGAGTTCTCCGCCTAAAGCTTTGTGCACAGAGGGAGACAAAGGTATCAAAAACTAACTTTCTTAATGAGTGCTCAAAGCACACAGTATATTCGAACACACCCCGGTGCTGGAGACCTAGAGCAGTAAATCATAACACAGTGAGCTCTGATTTCCATCACCTGCTGCCAGTGTTAATACATATGTGTCTTCATTAATATTTTTATTGCCCGTGGCTATTTAAACAGAAAACTGGAAAATGTAACACTATGTAGGGATCGTTAGTTTTTAGTTACTACCCTACTGCCCCAGGATGGTAAATGAACTGTAAAAATAGCCTGAAACCATTGCCACCTGCCTCCCTGCTATTGTCCATGGGTTAATATTTGCACTTCTCTTTGGTGCAGCTGAGCCTAACTCAATTATAGTCCCATTTCCAGGTCTTTGAATACCCACCATCGATGTCATCGATTATGCAAAAATCAGTGCCCTGTGAACTTCTCACTAACTGGAAAAATACATACATCTTACCTGACTTATAGTGTAATAACAAAATGGCTCTTAGCAAATGGCTTGGAATGAAATCACATTCAGGATGACAGGACAGCACAGACACAACTCAGATGCTAGGGCTGGAAGATGAAGAGCCCGTAAGCAGGGGAACTGCCCACACGTAACACATTTACTGTTTATTTTTGCCAATGAATAATTTGGCATGCAGACAAAAGGGCATTTGGGGTCTACTATTTTGTATCAATCTTCCTCCCTTCCACTTAAAGAACAGTTTTCTTTTTATGCTTCATTATGTCTCTGTTTAAAGAAAATTGGCAGAAAGCGTCCAAACCTGTCTCCTTAAGAAAATGAGTGCACATGAAAGTAAAAAAGGGTGGGGGCAGAGACAGGAAATCGAATACTATATATATCAGAAACAGACTTATTAACAAGTCACAATCCATGTGGTTCTTTGTACACTATAAAGGTTTGGGAAAAATTCGCCACTACTGTATAAAAACAGCGACTCCCGATTATGAGAGCAGAGTCTTCACTGAACTGCCAAGCACTAAGACAAAACTGGCTCCAAGCCACAAATATTTCCAAACTATGTTCTATTAGCAGAGTCCTTAACTGACCTCAATGAAAGACAACCCAGAATTTCCATGTTCAAAGTATCGAGAACAGCACTCTATAACTCAAGAATATTAAGTAATGACTATTCGTATGGCCTACTCGCAACTGTAAGGCAGGAAGGAGGAAGGAAGTGAGAAAGAAACTGATGTCCTGATGCAGTCTCTGACCTTTATTTCCATTTTTTTCCTCCATTACAATTAATGATCAAAATATCTATTCTGCCTAAGCCCTTGCCTAGTCTTGGAAAATAAAAATTCTGTGTAAAAAAATGTCCAAAACAAACAAAAAAGCCAGGATATGGGATGAAAATATGGATTAGCTCAGCTCCTCAGTGATAGATGGTCATCTTTATTCTCAGTGTTTTGGAACCTGAACTACAATGATGGCATTAGATTTGTTATAAGGCATTACAAAATTTATGGCAATAGATCTGAGGCTGTTTCATGACCCAGATTCTTTTATAGCTCTATTGAAAGCTACAGATCTACACCCCATAAAAATAAATATATCCATGTGTACACAAAATACTGCATATATTTTCAGTGGTTTCAAAGATCCCGAAATCCCATTCCTACCGGGGTTGGTTTCTGGAACCTAAATTAAGAAAATCTACACTACGCCCTGTATCACAAGGAACTTGATTGTTTTCTCACCATAAAATATTTGGATCACAAACATCAGGGAAGTAGCCAAGCCTCATCACAGCCTAATTTGCTAAAAGCCAAGATTACTGAGGGCAGAGCTGTGAAGTAAGTATATGGCAGCAAGATACACAACACATGCTGAAGTTTACTGAGGTCATAAACTTGATATGAACACGTAGCTGAATTCTGTATATGGGTGCATAGTTATTCACAGACAATGATTCCTGCTATGAAATCACAACGTGCTATGTGAGCTGTTTTGCTTTGAACACAACTGTGAATCTAGAAAAGGGAGTTTTCTATTAATAAAGGACACTTTCAACAGTCACTAGTAAGCCCGTCCTGAGTGCTAAAAATCAGATTATTCCCTTATTTGATTATTTGATTTAGATCACACTGACCTGGGAACTCATCATGCTTTATCATTAATAATAGTTATGCATTCAATCTCACCAGTCATTGGGTCTCCTATGATAGATTTTTAAGTTTTGCTAAACCATCATGGGAAACGGAAACTCTATTGAAATTAAACTTATTGTGACATTAAAAAAATGTTTTATTTCATTTTGGATAATTGGTACCAATGGTTTTCAGGGGTATACTGCACCAAATTTAGTGCCTGATAATTAGAACAAAATTTTCAGATCACTTATCGGAACTTTGTTCTGAATTTAAATACGTTCCCTACTGCTTCCAACTCATAGTGCTGCTTGGAGATATGTGCTTCTTGTTATAAAATAAAGCCACAAATTAAAACCCTTAGGGAGAAAAATCACTGTACTGACAGTTAGAAAAATGTCTCTGCCCCCGTCCATCAAGAGCCATTATCAGACCCCATCTGCAAAGCAGTCTCTGATTAGGGAATATTCCCAATCAAGTTTTTAAAAAATCCACCATGATTGCCACACACAGGCAAACACCCCTCTGCCATTAATCTTCATTCAGACTGTTAGGATGTTTGTCTAAGCTTGACCGAGATGAAGCACCACAGACAGATTAGCTAGAGCAAAGCTTCCATTTCTCACCACATGTCAAGGCAGGTGGAATATTCTGTCGAGCCCAGGAGGACATCTGGAGGTCTGTACCATAAGGTAACCACTTCATTGGAGTACGTGTGGCTAGGGACAGATTTTGCTCTTGCAAGACCTGTGGGTTACATGAAACATAAAGAATTTTAATAGGCATTAACGGAACAAGGGAATTTAAATTTGAATGTTCACAGTTTTAAAAGGTCAAGCATGATATTGTAATACAGAATCACGAACACAATGTCAAGGTTACTAGAAAGGTTGGGGACAGCATATTGTTGGTCTACTTGCTTCAAATACATGCTAAAAACCAATAAGTCATTTATATTATAAAGCATCATGCATCTAATAAAATCCTGGGAGAGTAAACAAATGATTCATAAATGATTAGATATGACAAAGAAGCTTAGAAATCTCCCGAACTTTCCAAAGAATGTTTCACCAAGCTCTAGTTCTGAGGGTTACAAATGTTATTAGAAAGCATTCCAAGGGCACATAATTTTGAGAAAAGATGGTTTAAAAAGTTAAACAGGTCTTCATACAGCAAGACTTCTCTCAATGTCCTTAGTTTTTCTAATGCATATTGTGAATCTGAATGAAGAGACTACAACACTTTCCTCAAGGGTTTTCCTAAAACTTCTTATGGTTCAAATACTGAACTTCCATGTTCAGGAAGCTCATTTGAAAGCTACCTAAATAAACAATTATAATGGAATAGTTAAATAAACTGAAATATTTTCTAAGAATTTTTTAAAACTGGGAAAATGGTCACAATAATATGTTAAGTGATAATGTATGGCAGTTTGACCATAAATACTTATGCATAGAAAAAAGAATGACAGAAAATATATTTTTTCCAAATTTTCTAAAATGACTATATAATTCCTTAAAAAAGAAAATCACAAAATCTACAGATGTTACTTTTTAAAAATAAAAACAATCTGTGTGGTAGCTTTCTATCTGGGTATGTCCAGCAATGAAAAGTGTAAAGTAATTACTACTGTAATGCTCAAAGCACATATAACATTTTTACAATATTTTACTATAACATATTCATTTTAATATTCTGATTGTTTACATTTTTATGCAGTCTTTAGGAACATGACTTTTCTCCTGCTTATTAGACACCTAGTATTCCCTTTACTATATTCTATGTAAATGTTAAAATTAATAAGATAGCTGGTGGGACAAAGGATTTCTAATTAATTCAACTATGGTTACAGTAACACAATTTTCTCTACAGCAAGTTTTTATAATAATATCATGGCATATTATAAATTGGTAAATTTATAAGTATTCCATATTAAAATGTACAGATTATACACAGGCAAACATACATACACATGTGGTCTCCAACTTTTCTGTATATAAATAGAATATTTTTGATAACAGGTTCCCATAACAACCTCTACTTCTTTTCTTTTTCTTTTTACTTTATTTTCAATCATAGCTGACATACAATATTATATTAGTTTCGGGTGTACAACATAGTCATTAGACACTTATATACCTTATGAAGTGATCACCCCAATAAGTCTAGTACCCACCTGACACCATAGTTATTACAATATTATTCACTATATCCTCTATGCTGTACTTTACATCCCCATAACTATCTTTTTTCCAATTTACTTTTCTAATGTCTTCTTAATTCACTTTTTAGAAAAATTAGTTTCAGATATACACCCACGACTATTTTTATAACTGGCAATTTGTACTTCTTAATCCCTTTCACCTTTTCTCCACAAGGTTTCTTGCTGCCTCAATTCAGGCAAAACTGAACAACAGATAGGATAACAGGATGGTAGTGTTTCCACAATTTAGTAATCCTGTCAAAAGTTTTAGCTCCATGGGATAAGTGGTTAGCTCAGGTGGTTAGAGTGCGGTGCTAATAACACCAAGGTTGCTGCTTGGATCCCCACATGGGCCACTGTGAGCTGCATCCTACTTAAAAGAGTCAACTGTACCATAGTAGCATGAAAGCAATGTGTAACCAATGACCATGGCTATTCCCAAATAAAATTAAAAAAAAAAATGGTTTAGTTCCTCAAGTGAGCACGTTTCTATACAGAACCAAAGAGCTAAGCACAAGTCCTGAAATAGGCTGACTCATTCCATATGCTGTTGTCAAGTCAAATGGGTGCCCAAAACATTCAGGCTGGATTCCCTTGCTTTTCCTGAGGCCCTGTTGACAGAAATTGGGGCCAGAGGGATAGGAGAATGAAAACATCTGAGATTTTCTTTGACAGCTCCGAAGACCAGGCTAGTTAGAGACAATCATGATATTCCCAGTTTTAAAGGGAGAATAGGATCTCTAAATGACTTAGAAATAGAATAAATCTAAATATTTATATGTGATTTCAGGTCAATAATGTTCCCTCAGTATATAAGCTTATAAAACTAGTTAAATATTTCTGGAAAATGTAAATAGAAAAGGCTCTGTCTACATTATTTTCCTCCTTCTCACATGTATAGGTCAAGGACTGCCCAAACTCTAGTCACATGAACCATATAACTTCCCAAATCAACACTGAAAATGAGTGTTCCATGTCTAACTCTTCAATGTGTTAAAACAGTTTCTTAAAATAGGCTGCATGTAAATGTGCCATATATTGATGACTGTTATTGTATTTTAACCTACATTCTGCTGCATCGCTTGAGAAAAACTCATCTCATTTTAATAAAGTCAATTAAAACAGTTTCTTGTGGAAAGTGTCCTGTATATTGATAAACAAAAGGTTTTCACCCTACAAATACTCCTGTTCAGTTAAAAAAATAAGTAAATCCCAAAACTTGTCAGGGAGGGAGCAAATTATTAAAACAATGACTCAAAAAATAAACATTAAAAAAGTGCATTTTGAAGTAGGAATATATAACTATTTTTTAATAAATATTTTTGGTAAAGATATTGCTATGTATTTACAACCGTTCATGCATCAAAACATGCTTGCTCATGAAAAATTTATTAAACTGCATCCTCCAGCTGACGGAAAGAGGTAGGATAGGATTAATTAGCACAGCATGTGCGAAAGCTTTCTTTCTCTGTTCCTTGTCAGTTGCTATGGTTACACTACAGGAAGAGAGCTACACTACCTTTTAAAAAGGATGAAGTTCATGGGTTATTATCAAAACTTCTCACATTAATGTTTAGTGTAAATTAAGAGTCAAAAAGCAAAGTGAAATGCTAACCTGATGAGTATAGGTTATATGCACACTGCTGCTTTGGCTGAGCACGTGCATAGGAAAGGTTGTGTGTTGCTATGGGCATCTAAAATAGCTTGTATAACAATTCAAAGTATCAAACTTTAAGATGTTATCATTTCTAACTATTAAGGACCCTAACGTAGAGTAAAAAATCCTGCTATTCAAGCCCTATTGCCAATTATTCAAAGTTGGGCAACCTTGATACTAGCTAGCATAGCAGAATCTTAGCTTTCCAAAAGAATTCCGAAGTTATCCAACGAAAGAATTCCTTTTCATATCTCTTTAAGATGGTTACTAACATCTGCTGCCACCCTGAGCATGGTTGCACCCTCTGGCTTGGGCACAGAATAAATCATGTGACAGTGCTTCCAACACTTGCCCTAAGCTGACCATTCAGCATCAACCAATGGAGACTCTTCAGGCCTTATCTTAATAGCTTTCCCAGCTGCAATGGACACTTTTGACCACTCCTGTTCTTTTAAATTGACTCCCTTGTCTTCTCAGATATAGAAGAGCTGACAGGAGTGACCTGGTCTCCTTCTGGGATCTTCCTCTATCTGTCTCTTTACTGCTCATTTTGTCCAGGGTTATATTGGGTTGTCGGAAAAGTCATGATGTATTTTTTCTATGTTTTTCGTTGCAAAAATGCGTCATGACTTTTCCAACAACCCATTATATTCAAATCAGGGCTTTCTCAAATATATACATGTCATAGGTAACTGGCTAATGTCATGTTTTAACTGCCATCCATAGGTGATTTCTCACAATTTTATCTCCAGCTTATGTTTATCTCTGGGCTTCAGATCTGGGTCTATCCAATTCCTCAGTAGTCACAGGCACGAGGATGTCCTGCAGGCATTCAGCACAGCCCTAACCATAAGTCCCTACAGCCATCTGCATCATTAATGCAGGGGCTGTGCCATGAGTTCAGGAGCAAATGCATTTAACTAGTAAGCTGTTTTAGGTTCCCGAAACAGTACAAGTTCTTTCAGTTGTACACAGGCATACATTAGATTTCATATTTCATGCACATCTAATTATTCTTTCAAATTTCAATGCATCCTTTTTGCAAGTGGTAAAATTGCTTGGAGACTTGAGTAATCTCTCAAACTCTATGGAGAAAATCCCAAAACCTAGGATAGGGCTTCCAGAATGATAATGCCCATGTATACTTTGAATAAGAGATTGAAAAAGAACTGGCAACTTGACTTGTCTCTTTCTGATTAAGTGGAACAATGGCAAAAGCTAGATGAACTTGCAAGACTCGACTGAACTATGGTATAAAGGAGTATCTCTCACCACTTCAGTCTTTCCAGAGGCTATGCGACTGTTTTGAGCTTGTCAGTGGTTTCATTTTTATGTTAGAGCAACTCTCACACCTTTCTCTCAATATACTTCATTCCCCAAACTAAATAATCAGAAAAGGAGGGCTTTGTTTTCAGTTAACCACAAAATCACTATTTCTAGATGAGGAGCTCCTTTCTTCACTACTTGATTCCAAACAGACATGGATTACTTAGGTAATATTTTACCATCTGGCCGTTAGGCTGGAAAGGGAAAGACTATTCCATGAGTCAGTCCCTGGAGAAGAGCAGAGGCAGGCTATTATATTTCTTTCCCAATCCACAGTGCTGGGAACTGGCCAGGAATCTCTGCTTTCATACCAATTTTTATTGGAGTCCTCTGTGTCCTAGAGAATTTATATTAAATATCTTATGATGTGCTAAAGCTGCTTGAAAATTCTTTATTGCTGCTCTTGGAGTGTATCAATAAACAACCATCAAACAAAACAAAACAAAACAAATTTTTTTTCTGGTGTTCTCCCAGGTTCTGGCTTTGACCTCTTCCATCTGCACTTGACAAGGTTTCCTGGATGATTTCATTGAATCCTGTGGCTCCAGTTACTATCTATAT